TTAACACTATAGCCCAGTTGATGTTTCCTTATCCTTTTACTCATTTTGTACCTTAAATTTCTCTGCCTTGTGCTATCTTACTTCTCTTTACTTGGCAGAAAATGCATTAGAAGAAAACAACCAAAATTTACAATGGTACAGAAAAATCTTTTAGTTGTGTACTTCTACAAGTGCAAACTCAAAGTATATTTTTAATTTAATTCACTACTATTAGGTTTTATACCTGTGCTGGGCTGTTGCACAAGGGCATGTAGGAGTGGAAACCATGCTGCTGCCTTGTCTGTGCTGCTGTCCATGTGGCTGCTGAGAAGCTACCTCGGGTACATCTGCATGAGATTTCATCAACTCTTTCTGTTGGCAGTAAAGATATGCTGAAGCATTCCCCTTCCCAGAGCTGCCCTGGGGTGAAACAGTGGCAGTGTTTTTCTTACGTGGTGCTGAACTGACTATTTCCATAATTCTTAAAGACTTTGTTATGCCACTGTAGAAAATGCATGAGAGTCAGGGTTACTGCTGCTGTGGCATTCCCAGTTATCTGGGAGGCAGATCCCCCTCCCTGTTATCTTGTGCCCATGGTAACACAGTGTAAAATGGCACGCCATGAAAAACAGCTGATTGCCAGTACTGCCTGATAGCTGCAAGGAGCCATGAAAGCTAATAAAAATGATTCACATTCACTCTCTCCTCCTTTTAAACCAACTGTTTAAAAGAAAAGAGGGCAAAATTGAGAGCGAGCATCAGCAGATACAACCCTGGTGAAGTCAATAAAGTTGCACCTAGCAGGAACAGGTCTCCATTTGATTTCAATTCTTACTGCACAGGGGAAGCAGAGGGTGCAGCGGCATTACCATAACCTTTCATTAATCTCAGCGGGCAGCTCATTCAGCTAACGAGACACATGCCAGCAGAATGTCAGTGTGGTGGTAACCTGCAGAAGGCACCGAGGAGGAAATTGTCTCACTGTGCGCTGTCTTTGGCTGGGGTGGTTGCTGCTACTCTGATGAGAGCAGCAGAGAGGTAAGCTGTGCATGGAGAAGCCACCTTCCCACTGCTTCATAGATCAGGGAGGAATGGGATATTCTCTACGGGGTGAACTGGAGGCAAGCGAGCTTGCTGCGCTCATCTCAGAGAGGGTCGGATGGAAGCCAGCAGCAACTGAAGAGACAATTAAGAGCAATAACATGCTGCTCAGGGGAAATTAGTATGTGCTTCCTCTCAGGGAGCAATATCTCTATGAACAGCTGCAGCCAGGCAGAAGCAGTATTTGTCTGTGGTCTTCCAGGCAGGCCTATCTGGAGGAAGGGGCTACCAGGGACTGCAGGCAGAGCTGTGTTTCAGCTTCTGAATCTCTTAGTGAGGTTGGGTTGATATAATTCATCCATGTTAGATAGCTAAAAGGATGTTTTTGTTGTTGTTGTTTAGTTGTTGTTTTCTCTAGAGAAACACACAAGGTATTAACCTGATCCTTTTACAAACAGAGCAGCCAAATAGGAATAGAGTGAAAGCCTGGGACAATCTAAGCTAGCATGTGGTGCAGTTAGTGTTTACAACACTCATTAAGAAGGTAAATTATGCCTAAACCATTTTCCAAGACAGCTAGCACAGATTTTTATTTTTTATTTTTTTTTCTTTATGGACTATATCAAAGTATAATGTAACCGTACAAAGGAAGCACTCTGTTAAATGGTGATACCACAGCAGAGTGAAAACAATTCAAAGTTCACTCCCCAAAATAAAAACTGTATTTTACAGAGACATTATATTATATGTGTTTACAAAATAATAATAATAAAAAACTAGTTAGGTATTGAATTAATTTTTTCTGTATGTGTTTGATAAGCCATCTGTAATACTGAATATTATGTTCTGCCTGACATGTCAATATTAACAAATATTCAGTAAATTAGTATGGTTTTCCAGGCTATATTGATCATATTAATGAGAATGGTAATGCGGGTATGTTTATTATGATTAACAGAACTCTGTTCAGGTTATTGGATTCAATCTGCACCAAATTAACATTCTCTTTCTGAGGTTTTTGAATAAGAACATAAAATATCCAGAAATTATCAGTGAATAAGCTCCTCTGAAACCCTCTTCACTCCTGCTTTGTCAAATCTTGAATGTTTACTAGGAATGAGTCTTGAGAATTGAATGTTATTGACAGTTATGGCTGTACAATACCCAAAGAGGGAGGGTATGATCTTAGTAACAGTAAACAATAACAAGCAAATTCCACTAAGCAGAGGATTAAAATAAGGCTCACGAACTTCAGTGGGAGCATATGTATGTGTGAAGGTAGTACACAACAACTTTAGTGGAGATTGAGCCCCCAAAGTACTCTGTTTTTCAAGTTAATGAGAAAATAAGTTTGGCTGCCTTAAACACATACCTTAGTGAAATAACTGAGTGAACTTCAGTACCACTGTCAGAAAGTAGAGAAAATCCAGCCTACACTTCAGGGCACATGTAAAGAAGAAAGAATAACAGAAATATTGAAACAAATTCTGTTTACATCAAAGTTTAAACACAAGGTTGTTCTTTTCTCCTTCTCTTCTCTAGGAGCAATTCAAATAATTGCACTTAATTGTGTCAAGACTCACTCCTGCACACAATAAAAGGTGTATAGAAAATAAGCTAGTTGCTTCTTAAAATATTCATTGAAGAAGCTTGCATTCTCTCTGAACAAAAGGAAAGTCTTCCCTAACTAGAGCTTACAGATAGGGACAGAAGTCTAAGAAATGATATTAGTGTTTGAAGAAGTAAATGCACAAGATCCATCCTAAGATGTGTGGCCCAAGCCCTGCATGATGCGATTTCAGAGATAGGGTTGTGGAGTATATTGGGTCCCTTTCTGTTTGGGGTTTTTTTAATTATTAAAAAAAAAAAAAAAAAAAAAAGATAAAAATTTGAGCTTGGTCCAGAGACCATTGAATTTTACTTTTTTTTTTTTTTTTTTTTTTTTTTTACTGTGCACTGCAATTTTCATCACGAAGTTATTAGCAAGAAGGAATGAAAAGTAATTGTGATAGGACAACAAGGTTATAATCATAACTTGTTCTTACCAATTAAAAATGATACTCCTGTGATCTCTCTGCTTTGCTATATCTGAGAACTGCATGTTAACTCTGGAAATTTTGAGTAGCAGAGCTAAAAAGGAAATTACTGGACATTTCTTTGAACAGTAAGCATTCTGGAAATGCAGAAAGAATGTCATAATCAGCAGGTTCACGTATTTCAAAATGCTCTCATATTTCTTTCAATAATTTTTAGTAAAATACATCTGTAGTCATTGTATAATCCCACACACACCTGTAAATTACAATGTGGAATGTCATGATTTATTTCATAGCATAAAAGCTGTTAAATGAATACTGACAGCACCATTAGCGTTCTGATCTTGAACTGAAGTGCAAGTCAGCTCTGTTTAAGTCATCGTTTTCATGAGCCACAAAGAAATGTGCAGTTAAAAGGGTTCCATAAGTTAATCAGAACAAAATTAGTAAAGAAAAATCAGTAAAGAAGTGAGCCAATTGGGGAATGGCATGTTAAATCTCTTACTCTAAGATGATGTTTCTGTAAGTGGTGGATACGTGGTGTTAAGGAATCTGGAGTAAAGCAGAATGCTAAAACATGGGCCAAATATTTGACTTGTTCTGCATGAACTGTGAGGTTTCCATATTATTTCAATGGCTGAATCTCATGCTCTGACTGCTCCCACCTATGCCGAGTACTTTGTTCTCATACTTGGCAAGCATCACTCAAGTGGGCTTCACACATATTGGACTCCTGTCTGACCACTGCCTTCTGGGAACTCCTGGTGAAAAGCAAAATGGAAGTAACTAAATAAGCTCAGCTTCTACTGTTCCTTAATTTATCATGCCAAGGATCACCAACTACTGTTTTTCTGCTCTAAAACCCATTCCTTATATCATCTTCTAGCAAAGAAAATGAGTTCTGCTTGCACTAAAATAAGATGCTTAATTTGTCTTATAACCTCTTCAGAGCTAACATAGATTTATTTTTTAAACAGTCACAGAGCACTTTTTCTAAAAATCATATTCTGTCTCATTTGATCCCTAATGCAACATTCCGCATTTTGTTCTTCTACACACTTAAACTTTTTTTTTTTTTCCTCTAGTCATGGAGATAAATCCTATAGGTGTTACATGTTGTCCTTTTTGGAGGGAAAAACTGGATCTGTGTGTTCCTTTAAATGTTAATCAGTCTCTCCCTACAACCTTACGAATTCTATTGTATTATGAATATTTGTCACAACTATTTTAATACTAACAGCTGTGATCCTTTAATGTGTGGAGTGTGTGTTATAAAGAGCCAAGTGCTCTGTCGCTCTTCCCAGTTTCCAGCAGATTTGATACTGTTCATGTTTGGCACTCCACTAATGGAGCTCAGTGCACTTCAGAGAGGAACTGTTCCTTCTTAATGAGAAATAATTCTTTTCTCTCCCACTATAGATACCTCTGATCCAAAATTTAGACACTTCTGCACCTTTACTTGTATTTTTCATCTGAGTCATTTAGTCCAATCTGTTTGTCTATCTGAAGTGATCAGCATCACTGAAACTAAAACATGAATCACTCAACCCCCCAAAGTAATTTACTTGTTCTTAACTCACCCTCAATAATGTACAGCTTCTGTGAGAATCTCCAAATTCAACATGTGTAGCTTGTATATTAACTTTATATGTATATTAACTTGTTTATTAACTTCTTCCTTAGGTAAAGGATTTAAAATATAAACCATCATGCTTATATATTACTTTTTTTATTTTTTATAATGAACTTATGAACTTAAACCAATTTTTGCTTCTTTTTCTTTTTTTTTTTTTTTTCCTGTCACTTACAAAAGTAATTCCAAGCTAACATAGAAAGCTGTTAACTGTTAAGTTAAAAGCCAACCAACCAACCAATTAAGCAACAAATCCTCATCTGATGTGATAATTTCTCATTCAAAATGAAATGTTTCTCTTTTTCATTTAGAAATCCAAATGGGACCCTGATTAATGGAACAAGATGGCCAGTCTTCACCAGTGCTGAACAAAAATATTTAACATTAAATACTGATGCTTCAGAAGTGCTGACAAAGCTACGTTCTCAGCAGTGTCGATTCTGGAATACTTTTTTTCCCAAAGTTCTGGAAATGACAGGTAAAAATGGTTTTATAGATACTTTTATTTGAACTGCTTTGTACAAGGCTCATCTACTTGGTATTGATGTGGTAGTTCAGTTTAAATCTTTACATTTCTATTTGTAGCTCTATTTCCATGAGATTTTCAGATGTTGGACAAAACTTCCAATGACATAGATTTTCTTGAGAAGCCTGAAGCCACAGTTTTTGTAAAGCCCACCAAACAGACTAAGCATTTGTACTTCTGGACTTCAAAAGGAATTGCTTTTTTAAAGTGATTTTGCAGCATTGGAAATGCAATCTGTAGTTTGGAGTAAAAAAGTCTCACTTCAAAAATACGATACACTTTTTAAAGGTTAATTAGTAATTTACAAGCTTTCTGTAAGATTCAATTTGAATGTTAGTCTTAAAAAAAAATGTAAACTTTCATGGTGCACAGATGATTCTTTCTGAAATAATTTGTTCCTTCCTAATTTGAACCTATAATTGTGTTATGGCTCAAATTTTATCCTCTCTCAATTCAAGAGATGTTTCTAAATTAAATCAAGAGAAGAAAAATCAGGAGGTGAAATGAATAATTTATAAAGCCTATTCTGTGATTTTAAAATCATGGTATTCCAAATTATGGATGGATTTTAGGGAGGTTTCTCCATTTCTGACAATCCCTTTATGCTGAACCAGGAGAACTGAACAATTTTACACATTTCTCTAATCTGGCTGTGAACCCCTACTGAGTAATGTGTGCCTTAAAAATGGACTGTGCATAACCAAATGCTCCACGCCAGAGCAGAAAAGAGCACATCACCAGACATAGTTCAACACATCTTGTCAGGACAGCAGAATTGTTTTGCATGATCCTGTGGTGTGAGAGATGATGAAGCAACACTGGATCTGCTGGGAGACATAAATACATCACTTTATCTACCATATTCAGTAATTTTACAACATAAATCTACATGGTTAATTAACCGTGTGTATTCTTAACAAAAATGAAAGAATCATTGTGCTTGGATTCTAATCTAGAAATAAAACAAGAGTATGGTTAAGTACTGCCGTTTTGTTATGTATCTACATCTATCAGTCCTTGAAATATTGTAGCAAAAATACTGTGGTTTTATATTTTATATGTTTCCTACACTATCTTATATAATTCTGACAAAGAAACATTTACATTTCTACTTGCAATCATGATATAGTACTTTGTACTGTAATAATTTTCTTCATGGAAATAGTATTTTGCATTTCCTTTTATGCTCAAAAGAACTGACAGGACAGTGAGTGCCATAAATACAAGTATTTTTTATCTTTTGAGGGACAATCTCTTCTTCTATAGAAATATTCTTAGATGAGCAGGGTTACTTTAACGTGATATAAGATGACAGAAAACAAGATGCAAGGAAATTTTGTCATCATTATTGCAATCTGTAGTTCAAGCTGCGTTCAGATAGGCAAAATAGGACTACATCATTTAGAACTTGAAGAAAGCAATCAAGCTGATTTATTTTGCAGACATTGAAAGGGAAATTCTAATTGATCCAAGTGGTCAGGGTTTGACATGGATGCACTTGTTGGTGAACCACTCGCTTAGTCAGTGACCCACTCATTGCACAAGCCATGCTGTGCCTTCAGTGTCTTCTCTATATGTCATGGCCAGGTCCAAATGTATTCCAGCATCTGAGTGAGCATGCTCCTATGGCAGACTGGGTAAGACTGAAGCATTTAAATATACTAGAGAGGAAAATATTAGAAAATATTTATGGTTAGAGGTTAGATCTTTTCCTCAAGCAACAAAACCTGATAGATACCCTCCCTCATTCCTTGCCCCCCCTCAAAAAAAAAAAAAAAAAAAAAAGTCATGGTTGTGGGCTGAGAAAATTAATAAAAAATAAAATAAAAAACTCACACACTAACAGTAACAGCCACATATAATACCAGCCTTTATATTTCCACAGTATTTTATATGATTTTAGAAGATTTCTCAATGTCTTCTGCTTCAATTTCAATGTGAAAGAGTATAACTGAAGACACAAGTCCAAACCTGTGGTTTCAGGTTAAACTTTTTAAGAATCACAACCCAGATAACCCATACCTAGATATGCCTTATGTGGGCTCTTAAGTTCCAGGTTGACACAGTTGCACACAAATTTCCACCCTATTGAAAAGGGCTAACCACACTTAGAATACCCTCCATTCACAGTCACCCAAAGACAAGCCGGGAGCATCCAGCATTTAATGTTTCATTCGAGGGCACGAGCACCGGGACAACCACCACACCAGTTTCTGATGACTGCTTCTAAAAGAAACACACTGGAGGGACAGTAAACAGTAAGTGACTCTTAAGTAGCTTTTAGAGCAATCATATGTTAATTATAAAAGCATCTACATTAAGACACTACCTCCTTAATACAACTATTAATGCATCCAGAGCCCTACCTATTTATATACCAGTTTCCTCTAGATTATACAAAGCTGCAGGCAGCCAAGCCTTCCATTTCTGTTCCATTGCTATTTTACCATCTAATACATATAGTACATAAATTTCCATTTTATTTGGTATAATTGTACCAGATATTATTTGGCATCATATATCATCTAGAAAAAAATCAAACTTCAAAATAGCTAATATAAATACATTGTATTAAATAGTAAACACATAAACTCTGAAAATATTTTAAATATGGAGACAGAGAAAAGTTCAACCTCTTGACTAGTACTAACCCAAATCGTTGAATTTGCTATGATCCTCTCAACAGCATCTGTATTCTATAGAGCTAAACACTCAGGGTATTCAGACTATTAAAAATATGATGAATTAGAAAAGCCATCATCACAATTAGTTTTCTATTTCCATGGGGCTATGTGCTGCACTCATTATGCATGCAGAAAAGTGAATTAATCAAAAGTAACCTCACCAATAGTAGTGCAGATACTGACAAAGTAAAATCCTACTCAGTGTGCCTATGGCAGCCATCTGCCTCTATAATCTTAATTCTTTCTCGCTCCAGCATCTTGCATCCTGGGTCATAAGAGGGAGAAGAGCCCTTACAATATTTTGCCTCCCAGGTAGAGCTATTGCCTTTTAGAAGAAGAAGATGATGATGATGATGACGTTGAAGTCCTTCAAAATAAAAATATAATGTTTTTGTTTTTGTTTTAAAAAAAAAAGGAATTGATATTCAGAGTGTGTGACTAAAGATCATTTAATACGAAGATACTGAAGTAGAGATGCTATTTACTTGTTTTCTCCTTTCTGAAATCTTGTGTGGAAGCTATCACCATGAGAGACTACAGTATAAACTTAGTGTTTATCGCACTAATGAATCAAGAAATTTGCAGGTACCAGCATCTATGAGCTGTTGAGGAGGACAAAAAAATAATAACTCCTATTTGTCATCCCTTATTAATTATACTGTATCATAACAGCTACATGGCCTTTGTCCCAAGTTTAATGTTAATACTACAAAAATAAATTCAAGATTAGCACTTTATTGGCATATCTAGCAGAGCAACAAATGATGGTATGGAGATAAATTTAACTTCGCTATAATGCCTTTGAATTGAGGGCTGTATGCCTATGTGGAAAGAAATGCCAGCTGTCTGTGCTGACACTGCTGAAGAATAAAAAAAACTCTTTTTTTTATGTTTGGTTGTTTTTTTGTTCTGTTAATATGAGACCTTTCTAAGCATTATGGTATGATTCACTGCCTGAAATCTCTCCTTTTCTCCTTGGAAACTTCACTACATTCTGTATTAGGCTAATTGGTATTAGTACAAAGTTTGGGACTATCTTAAAGACTCCATATAACTTCACTGTAGCTGACTACTAGAGTATTGCAGCACTCACTACTCTGAGCTATAATTATCAGTCAAGTTGAATTCCCTAATCTTTTTCTATTTTATTTTATTTTTTATTTTGCCTTCTAGCTGTCAGCTCATCTAAGTCATAGGTGGTTGCTTCAGAGAGATTGATGATGTTAGTGATAATGGGATGCATTGACTTGTGACTTCAATTTGGATCTTATCACTGAAAAAAGCAAACAAATAGGAATCCAAGTTCTTATTTCAGTGTTTTCCTTTCTCCTTTTTGTCTTTTAGATTCATAATGGTGGCTAGTCTAAATTTCTCATTGTCTGCTTTCTTTAGTTCACTTGCTTCTTCACAATGATCCTTAAGAAACACTGAAATGTCTCATAATTTACACTCTAGACCAGTGACTTTTATTGAAGATGTGTGTATGATAGAGCTATTCCAGTTTCTAACGTCTTTGAGCAGAAACACTTTCTGCACATTAAGACTTCAAGCACTTCTAAACCTGAATAATTAAAGAAGGAACAGTTTTTTGAATTCATAAGTGGAAGGTTTACCTGTATAAATAAAACTGGGAATCCATAATCCAGAATAAGTCAAGAAATAAGGTTTAGGTATTTTTCTCCAAGTAATACCAGTAATGGTTCATACATCAAACTACCAATCCATCTGATATGTATAATTAAAATTCGGCTCTAAGACCCTGGATAATTCTTTAAATTGAGAAACATGCAAAGATGAGTTCCGAGGGTCAGGAAAGTAAAATGACGTGGATATCTTCTCCCTATAGTTCTGTGAATCATATCTGCATAGCTTAGTAATCAAAACATGCTTTTATTGTTACCAACATTTACAAATCCTCTTTGAGTTAATCACAACTATGGCCAGCAGAAAAAAAAAAAATTAAATGACCTGAAGTTTTCTTTGAACTCCGATATAGCCAAGCTTATTTACTTCTTTGAACTGAGAGGAATTTGGTTAACTTTTTAATATTTCTTCCTATGTTTGTTCTTCACAATTTCACTTCTGGCTACAAAAAGATGCACAGAACCTCCCCAAGAAAAAGTATCTTGGTTTTATTTCTGGTCTCACTGGAACAAAGTAATGTAAATCTCATTTCAAAGTCTCATTAAATTGCCATCTGGATTTCCAGACCAAAAAGGTTTGGAAATGTTGAGCTGAACTGCAGATAAGCAACCAAATTACTGGATGCTTCTCCAAACTGAATCTCCGAATCTGTTAACTCTCTTTCCAGAATATTTTCTCTACTGATGTGTAAAACACAAAAGTATTTCATTTTCACATAACCAGCTAAACTTGCAGTGCTGGCAGATCATAAAAAAGGGGGAAAGGGTGTTTTTATGGTGGAAAAGGGCCTATGCTCTATTGCAGCAGAAGAACATAAAGTCAAAAGAGCATAAAGAAACCATGGAACTGTTATCTCATGAACACAATTACCACATTTTTTTGGAAGCAAGCTATGTCAATATGGGATACTGAGATAATTAGGTGCAAAATGAATACAGGCAATCATAGATCATAAATGGTTTCTAAACTTTAAGAAAAAGTCTGCAACTGACCCAAAATAATAACTCACAGCATGTAATGGACCCTGTATATTTTATCTTTCCTTTAGTAGTTGTATGTGTTGTTCCTGCAAGGTCACTTCATTGCTCTCTAGGGTTAATTACCTTCTGGGACTGGAGGAAGTGATCCTTGTCCATACGATACTCTGGAAACCTCGCAAAATGATATATTTTTATTATTCTTTTCATCCTCACCCTCTGCTCTGAAACCTATAACAAATTTGGCAATAAATATTGCTTTGGGACACAGGATTAGTCAGCAAATGCTTTATATGGGCTAGAATGAAAAAGAAAAAAGAAAATTTCACATTGACATTATGCATATCTTGCAGTGCCCATCTCCGAACTTGTATCTCTTACACATTAAACATGCAGATTTATTTCAAAGTACAGTGAAATCCTGGCCACCCATTGTAATCCATTGAAACTAATGGCAATATTGCCATTATACTTTTGGCAGTATGTAGGCTTCACTGTGGAATATATTGAACCAAAGTAATACTTTGAGGATTTCACAAAAAAGAGGGTTTGTGTCATTAAAATTACAAGTTTGATGGACAGAATATTATCCAGAAGCAACAACCCCATACATAAACATCTTTATCACCCGGAAGTGTGCCTGAATGACATCTTTGCAGGCCTTCCTTCCCGATCTAAAGATAAAGTGTTAGTCACTGAATTTCTGTCATTCCAGGCTTGAGAAAAAGAGACAAAAGACCTTCCTATAATATATTTAGAGCAAGTGACATTGATAATCAAAATTATTTTTCAATTAGCATATAAAGAGATTCAAATTTAGATTAGTGTAACCCATTTCATGTTTTACAGGAAATATTGATGAAGCAGAACGAGAGTGGAAAGCAGGATTCCATCGCTGGAACAATTACATGTCAGACTGGAAAAATCAATTTAATGATTACACTAGCAAGAAGGAGAGATGTGCAGGCTCTAATTAATATGTTTACCCTTTCCAGTATTTCCGTATTACTGTTCATCAAGGCAAGTATACAGGTAGCTTTCTAACACACCTAGCATTAAATATTTTATGCAGACTGAAAAAAAAACGTTATGGATATAATTTTGATTCCCCAGATCTTTCATTTATATTTTACCTCATATCTCAATAAACAATATAAGGCATCCGTACCCTTTGAAGCTTCAGTGTGTTAAATAGGACTATAGAGATTAAAGTCTGAAGATTAATGATGTACATATAAACACTAGCTGCTTAAATTCACACTTCAAAGATACAATGTAATCTGTTATAGAAAAATGGATTTTTTTATTTTATTTTTTTTTAGTAGAAATAGCAGTGGTTTATAGCATTGCCATGCAAAACACAATCATTTTTGATCTTTAACTGCAATGCCACAGCACTTAAACCTTGCTTCAGACATAATTTAATTGACATAAATATAAAGAGATAACAACTTTGCTGGACACACCAAATGATATTTGCTTGTTAGACCAAAAAGTTTTAAGATGCTCATTAAAGCCTGAATCATTGCTTCTTTATGGCAAAATCTGTAGGACTAAGCCATAGTAAGAGGGTATTCAAACTATCTATTGAAGACTTAAATCATCTGCATTCTCTGCAAGTGCAAAGGTGAAATAAGCCAGAAAAACAGACTTGTGCTTCTGCTATCCTTTTTTTCATGGAGTAACAAGCTACAGATTTACAAAGTAATACATTCACAGCTTTCCCTGCTCAGGCACCCAATTGTCTTCACCAAGTCTCTGCAATGGAGGTAAGCTCCAATTATGAATATTTTTGTCCACTGAGTTGTCTCGCAGTCAAGGGACAGGCCCATATTTACTAGAACATGAAGGATAAACTTTTATACATCTAGAAGAATATCAATCTGTTCTTAATCAATCTAGCAAGCTCATCAGAAGTCTGCCATGAAAGCCCTGCTAAAGAAGACTGGGAAGAACCTCACTATAGAGGGACATTGTGATGTGGTGTAAAGGATGCAGCTCTTTGACATGGTCAAATGGGCTTCAGTTGTCATACAAGTAGGTGTCTCCTCAATGACTTTCTACCCACTCAAGCCGACTCTATCAGACAGTCCTAAAAAAGAACTTTGGATACCTTTTTCTCCTATTTCTCTGCTTCTGGATGGGGTTGCAAGCGGTATGCTTCAATAATACTTTAAATAGCTGCTTTTTACTGGCCCATCTGGGAAGAATAAATGTCAAAAATTTGATAAACATAAGGAGTATGTAAAAGCAACAACCCATCTCATAAATAAATTATTCTGAAGCTTTCTGTACAAGTAATAGGCTTTCAGTGGATCTATTTTCTGTTCTAGTGATTATGAGTGCTTCCAAAATTCCGTCTTGAATTTAATATACTGAAGAGATCTAGATAAGAAACAGAGGGTGGTCTCTTTTGGCAGTTAGTTTGACCACATGGGATCCCTACACACACACACACACACACACACACACATATACACACAAAGATTTATTTTTGCAGAAAAGCTAAACTCTGCAAAAGATGTTGGCTTATTATCTTTTCAGTTGTTTCTAAGAGAACACAATTATTTCCTGACTTTTAAATGGAAAAACATCTTTACCACAGTATTTCCAAAGACTACAATTCATCCTACGCAGTCAAAAAAAATGGTCATTTTTGAGCAGGCTAATTAAAAATTGAATGTACCTAGGATTAAAAAGCCCTCTTCATACACCACTTCATGTTTATAACACAAGTCATTAGCTCACTACATACATTAGCATAGTTACTGCTATTAATAATAGCATGGAGAGCTGTGTCATTCTGTGGTGTATTGGCTATCTACCGGATATTCCTCATACTGCTGATAAGCTTTGGAAAAAGTGACAGAAGGGTAAACTTTATGTCCAACATGAGCTCATTCTGGATCTCCCAATTTTATTCACTTGGTGTACTTCATAGGTATGCTGGGTACTTGTCTGCCACAGTGAGCCTCAACAGCTGCAATAGCACATCAGCATATTTAAAAGCAATATTTTTCTTTTCTGATATCCTCATTTTAGTTGTATTTCACTATCTATCTGTCTAATCAGCCTAATCAGTGAGAAAAAAAAAAAATCTGAGCTAATTAAAATGTACAAATAACCTTTGGGAAGGGCAGAATCAAAGAAGTCTATAAAATATTTTGCTGTGAAGGTATCTTTATATGTGGTGTCAGCTAGGATGTAGAAGGTCTATTTGAAGACTAATACTCTCCACAGCATTTATAACATGTCTGTAACGTGTTCTTAAATAGGAATAAGGATGGAGGGAAGAAGAAAGAAAAGCAGAGTAAAATAAAACTTAAACTACTTTGAAGTGTTGTGTTACTGATTTTCTTGATAACTTTGTATTTTTCATATGCTGGAAAATAATATCTCAATTTGTTCATATGAAATCAATATATTATCTAGTCATATATTCATAACCCACACTTACACAAATAATGTAAAGCCTTAAATATGTAGGTGGTTAAGGTAATAAAGAACACAAAAAGACCAGTCCCCATTGTGGAGAGCTTAAAACTAAAGGTCAAAAAAACCTGTGTAGGAAATTGTTTGAGGATACAGTGTCATAGCTTAAAACAATTACATACTAGACAAATATTTCATCCAGATCTCGCTGAAGATGTAACATCGCTAATTAATATTTTCACTTGGCTCAAAAGAGACAAGAGACTAAGGCGCTCTGTGAAACCAGAGAAAATGTGTTGATCCTTTCTTCCCATTCCTGATATCTGAAGCAAGAATTCTGAATGTAGTCCCAGAGTTGGTGAAAGATTATAAGAAAATGAACTGCACTGCCAACAAAAATGTTGGCATTAAATCAGTTGTCATTAGGTTTATAAACTAACAGCATGCTGATTAAATTACAGACATTTCACACCTATTTTGGAGATAGTTATAAGAGGGCCAAAGTCAGAAATTTCCCAGCAAAATTCTGTTTAATTTAAACCATTGACTTTTGCATTTTAAATGTTTTGTCTAAAATAATTTGGGTTAAATAAGCTTTCAGTAAAGTTAAGTGTTATTTAAATGAAATTCCATTTGTGTCCCTCCTGGAGTATCAAAAACCAAAGGAGTTGGGGTGCGCAGGATGCCTGGCCTGGGGGCTCTACAGAGCTGGTCCAGCCAAGGTTGAGGCTTCCTAGCTCAAAACAGTGGCTCACAGTCACCCGATGTTGTCTCTAGCAGAAGCAAGCCCCCTGCAAGTTTTCCAGGCTTCCTGACAAACATTTTACACTTTTAACTTGGACTTTTGGGACGGACATTCAGGTCTTGCTGTCCTAAGCCCTGGCTGTCACTAGAGGTTTATCATACTGATAAAGCCAAATTCCCTCTAACTGGAAGCCTGGCTTTTTGGCCCTCTATGGTCACTAGATGATCAGCTATTTATAGAGTAAAGATTACTGCTCTATAAATATATGGATATATGCACAGAATTTAGCTCTGCGTGTTGTGCAGACACAACTCAGATGTGTCTGCAAGGAACAGAGGCAAATCTCTAACAGCTCATAGTTGCAAATGTGTCTTTGCAACATAAGTCCATCTTTCATTTTAAGTAGAGTGCTGGAGAAAAAATTATCTCAGGTTCTGACAGAACTGTCAGAAAAATGTATATTTATTTCCTGATGTACAAGCTTAATATGACCTCTGGCCTCTCTAATGTTCCTATCAGAATGGATCATCAGGAAGCGATTCAGCCCATTGTCATATGCAGATATCACATAGATAATCTGAACATAACATTAACAGTGGGGATATATACGTATTTGTCTCTGTCAACATCATAATGCTGTCTTCTTCCCAGGCATGACTACATTTCATGCATTTCTACTGGCTCAGCACCAGTTCTGCAACATCAGCGGCAGCTATTTAGAGGGGCATAACAAACGTCACCATGCTTCAGTTACACCTGCAGTGTGTCCAGCTAGTAAAGAGCAGCCACTGCCAAATGCCAGCCTGTCCACTCAGGGTTCCTGCCCTTCTTTCTCCTGCAGTAGAAAAAACACAAGCATTTTTGCCCCAGAATGATCAATAACTGAGTGGCTTCACAACGGCCACAGTAGTCCTAAGCATCCCAGTATCTCTGTCCTGATAACTTCGGCCAAAAAAAGTCTTCCACTGAATTGCAAAATGGGTTTAGGAATTTGACAGTGATTCAGAATATGGGGTGAGGAACGAGACCACTGCTTTGGCTCAGGCTTGGGGGTTGCTGTGGAAAGTGTTTGTGCCAGCTGACTACTTTCTCACTATATTTTCTCTTCCAATCAGTGGAACCATGGGCATTTGCCAAAAACTCAGACTGCTCTTGGCTAGCCAGCAAGTCTAAACCAAGCACCTGTGTAACAGATATGTGCAGCTGTATATGTTTACCACAGCTGATCCATCTGTAGTACGCACCACATGCCAGTTGATTTACTCTGGGTGGACTGAGAGCAAGACTCCATTAGAAAAAAGTTCCTGGCTGAAGGACAAATATTTCTCATGGCTTTGTTTTTATTTCTCCCCAACTGCCTGAGGTTCTAGGTGGGTTTTCTATTGCTAGTTAATTACTGCTGTGTGAAAGTAAAGAAACTTCTTTAAAAAAAAAAAAAAATCTCTAGCAAAATGGAAAATTTTAGGCTATTTCAATACCGTGTCTTAGGGATCTACAAGAGTTATTTGGAAATGGTGTGTGAACATGGTTAATGTTTAACTGCCTTGATTCTATTTTGTGAGCTGAGAAGACCATTCCGTTAAAATTGTGTTACAGATTTCAGATAATATGCATCCACAAATACATAACATACAACATAGGTCCAGCAGAAATTGCCTCTTAGCAGTATATTTCCAACCTTTGTAAGCAACATGGACTTGGAGATAAAGGCTTGTATGTTATGGTTTTTGATGGTTTTTATATTTTCAACATGTACCTTTTTAGCCTTTACTGAAGAATAAAGTGATCACAGGACTTTCTGCTATAAATTAGCACCTCAGCCAAATTAGTCATTCACAGTTAAAAGTTCAAAAGCTTTTATTCTGATTTCAATTGTTTTAGAACCAAATTTTATGAACAAACATAATTAGCCATTTTTAAATGCTTCATAAGACAAGATAATTCCTTCCTGACCCCTGCTGAAATCTTGAAGTATGAATACTGATTATCTTGTTTTAGCACGTAAACCTTCCAGCATTTCGTTGATAAACTAGATTAGTTGCACTCATAAAAACTTTAACTCATAGACTTAATGACTACAAAGCAGTGATGTGAATCTACAATTAGCACAGGTGTGAATTTGAGAGGCTTTTAATTGGATTGCAGGTGAGATTAAATAAGGCTTTTAGGCATGCTGCAAGCATGGGTTGGGGGGTGGGTGAGTTGTGTAATGCTTTCAGTGGGGTTGGGGGGGGGAGAGGTTTAGGAGGAAAAAGGAGGCTTAATTCTAGCATGAAGTCTGTTACATGAAAGTCAGTGATGAGATGGTTCCTTCCTGATAGCATCACAGTGGTATGAGAATGCTTACATTGGCTTTGGGGTTCTGTCTTTTGGCATTTACTGAATCAAGCCATTATATATATAGCCTTGTTTTTAAAAATACTGTCATTCTGATCAAGGATCTCGAGGTAGCCTGGAAATTACTGTTGTTTGAAAAGTATCTAGTCCCTCAAAGTTTATATACAGGCTTGGAGAATATCAGCTTCTGATCTTTTCAATTCTGCTCCATTTTAATATATGCCATGGTTGCAGGAGCTAATGTTTTAGCTACTATTATTAGAACAATGTACAAATGGTGTAGGTGGTTCTTGCAGTTTGGGAGTGCTGTGGTTAATTTCTTTAATTTATTAAGTATTTATAAGTCTTCAGTTATACTGAGTAGTGGTAAAAGTGTGTAGGCAGAAAGCAGTTATCTCCACACCTCTCAATCTTCCAAATTAAATTCACTCTTGCAGCATGTCTAATCACTTCAGGGTACCTCATCATCCTCTCTATTACAAGCTATGCAGCACCACTCCTTGCAAAATAGATACATTCCAATGGAGTTTTCAGACTGATATTATTTTATTATCTCATATGGGAGACAATTAGGGTATTAACCCAGAGAAAGAAGCAAGAGATGTGACCATTTATCAAGGACTGTTTAGAAAGTAATTCAGATGGACTTTATTGAGGACAGTGGGAACCAGCTGGAATTACACATCCAAAGTGATACTTCTGAAATATTAAACTTTTCCCACTCGCTAATTACAGATCTATAAATTTTATAGATACTGCTAGCTGAAGTTCTATTAGCCATTAAATAACATGCTAAATATGTGTTTTACATAAGGAAAAAATGAAATATGTTTTTTTTTTTTTTTTTTTAATTAGTAGACAGAATTACAGGAAATAAAAAAAACATTGCTTAGTTATCTTTCAGCATATTTTTTATCTGGGCATTAATCCCATTTCACATTTCATTTTCAGTGCTACGGTAATTTGGGTAGTTCGTTTTTGTTTTTTTTTTTTTTTTTTTTTTCCCATTTCTGATGTCTGAAAGAGCTTGATCTTGTAGCTCTCACTGCAGTTATAATTTTGATTTCAAGACTGATTATTAGAAACCAAAACTTCAACTATATGCTTATATATACCTGGCTACCTTGGCACAGTGGTATTTTTATATTGCATTTCTCTTTGGGAATGACCTCAGTACTCACGGTATTAGACTGTTGGGTGACTTTCAGTTAATTGAAGTTTTGTCATTGCCTTCAGCAGAAGTACAAGACCTCTTTTGACCGACACCTTCAATCTTCTTTATCGCTTACTAATCTGGGAGATATTTACTATATAAGAGAAAAATTCCATACCTCAAAGTCTACATTTTTCACGGAGTTCTCTTAGTGATGAGCTAAATGGGAGAATGAAGCTGTGGACAAACTATGCTTATTTGCTCTTCTTTGCAGAGGAAGATTCATTTGATGCTAGCTGAAAAGTCCAATAATTAATTCCCTTTATATTTTACGTATTTATGTTCTTTATCTCACCTGAGCATCCTCTGCTCCCCACCAGCCTACTGTAATTGTAACGCAAGCCTGATCTGCTGCAGCAGTTCCTATCTTTATCCACACTGAGATACAGTGTAGGGATTATTAAAAATATTAAGATCAGTAAATCCAAGAACACCTTTCTGGAGAGGGGCACTGACAACCAGCTACTGCAGGAACTCACAAGCTGTGACAATCCCCTATGAGTCCAAAACAGCAAAAAGTGATTGTGGTTAAAAATTCAGCCTACAATGTGCTCTTCTTCAAGAAACTTTTTGGGGTTTGAGCAATGTAATTTGATAAAGCTTCAGAGCA